CAAGGTGAACAACTTGGTGAGGAGCTACAGCTGGGGGCTTCTCCTTCCTCCATCAGGAGGAGCTCTTTCTATCCTTCCCAGCACTAAATTTTGCTTTTCATTTGTGTGTCTGCTCAGTTTTTGTTTGTGATGCCTCTCCCACCCCACTAGACCGTAAGCCCTGAGAGGGCAGGGACCATGTCTGTCTTGTTCATCACGCTAAGCCAACACCCAGCACAGGGCCCACCACACAGAGCCCTTCAGAAATGCTTGTGAATATATGAATGAATGAATGAATGAATAGCACAGACAAGAGAACAGCTGATGCGGTGGACCACAGGGCTGAAAGCCAAGGACAACTAGATGAAGGTGGGCAGGTGGGGAGAGAGCACACGGGCACTAGGCAGGTGTATGTTGGAGCTGGGGAGTGAGCAAGATGCTTGGAAGGTCAGGTCAGATGTTTTGATTGAAGACCTCCAGGGACATCAGTTCTAGGCCCAGGCTGTGGCTATGGGAGCAAGTGACAGAGGTGGCTGAAGGTGAAGGCTGACGGAGATGAAACCAAGAACTAAGACCAGGACAATGGTGGGGAGGGGAAGGGACAAGGTATGAGCCACACAGACAGAGTAATCCCCGGGATACAGCAGTACTTGGGGTGGAAAGGGCTGGGAAGCTGGAGGTGCCAAGCCCTTCATGCCTGGGTGACAGGCCAGGCAGCTGGTTGGCAAGGGAGGGCAGTAGAGTGGGCTGAGGGTGGGAAGCCAAATAGCATGCTAGAGCCAGGCGCTGCACAGAGAGGTCGTGGTCTGGAAGCAGCACTAGGGGAAGAGGATTCCCTGTCTCTGGATCCTGAGGGATTCAGGCGGGTCAGCCTCCACTGATGAGGATCCAGGGACACTGATGAGGACCCCTGGGGAGGGCCTGGTCTCCTCAGCCAGGGGCTGAAGGTGGAGAGTGCTGTGATCAGGGCTTGGGTCTCACAGACAGGGCAGGAGGGCAGGGTTGGGAGCCAGGGGAAGGCCAGAGGGAAAGGGGGAGGGGAGCAGGAGGAGGGGGATGTACTGAGCCTGTGGCCGAGGGGGCAGGATGGAGGCAGGAGGCTGTAGGGGGTCTGGGTCCACTGATGTCCATAGACCAGCCATGAGACAATTCGGGACGACCCGCCAAAAGCCTGGTCATAGGAATGAATACAGAGGAGAAAGCAAGCTCCAAACTTGCATATGTGGTTGCAAAAATGTATATAAAAGACAATAAAACAAAACAAACAAAAACCTCTTTAATCCCAAATGGAAAAAAGACTAGAAGGAAATATAAAAAACGCTTAACACTGGTTGTTTCTGAGTAATGAAAACCTTAAGTGACTTCGTACTTTGTTGTACTTTTTCACATCTTCTGTCCCTGGTCCCTACTATAGTGCTCAGGGCATAGTTGGTGCTCAATTAACACGCGGTGAGTGGCTTGCTACACACTTAAAGAGCATGAACTGCTTCTATAACAAGGGCAGGGAGAGGGTGGGAAACATTTTTAAATGGAACTAAAAGATAGCCAGGCCCTGCCACCCCGTGCTCCCCAGGCCCCGCCCCAGGACTGCCCGCATCCAGCACTCGGTCCTGTGGAAGTCCAGGCACTTGCTTTCCTCTGGCCTGACTGACTCCATCTGGGCTTGGGCCCAGCCCAGGGCCAGGCACACTGTGGCTCAGAGCAAGCCTCAGGCTTGTCCCTGAGCTCAGGCTCCAGGGCAGACGAGCTCACCTTGGACCTTGGGTCTGGCTTCGGACAAGCCCGGCCAGGCCTGCTGGCAGATGCTCCATCTTGCTATCACATCCTGACTTCAGGTTCACAAAACTTGGTCACCTGAATTCCACTGCCCTGGCCTGCTGCCAAGAGGTGGCCTGACAGAAAGAGAAGTAGGTGGGGAGCCCAGAGGAGGGGGCGGGGAGAGGACCTAACGAGCGTCACTAAATGCCAAGGCCTTGTCCTCCTCGGCACCTTTAATCCTCCCACAACCTGGGGGCTGGAAAGGTCAGGTTTACGCTGAGGGCAAGAGAAGAAATGTGGCCTGCCTGAGGTCACACAACTAGCAAGCGACCCAGCCAGAATCAAACCTAGGTCTGGCTGGCTTCGAGTCCTGTGCACATTGGCCCCAGGCTACCTCAGGACCAGGGGTAAAGGGGGGCTTCCTGGAGGAGGGGGCATGTGTGTCAAGGATGTGATGCGCCCCTATCTGAGGCTCAGCATCCCCAGAGTGTGAGGCTGGGTGGGGGGAGCAGGGGTGCAGCTCGGGCTGAGAACCTCCCCGACACTGCCCTTCCATGGAGAAAACAAGGTTGGGCTAGGGAGGCCCTGAGGGGCAACAGGCCCAGAAACTGAGGAGTGGCAACAAACAGGGTGCAGTCAGCAGGGACAGGAGGGAGGTAAGGCACAGTAATGAGCTCCCCAGAGCCCTGTGCCTCCTTCCGGGACCCAGGGGCTGTCACCACAGCAGCACAGGAGGAAATGCAGTTAGCCTAGAGCACCTAGCCCTGCCCCAGCCTCCCCGGGGACCCATGCTACTGGAGATCAGCCTCCTGGCCCTGGCTGCCTCCAAGACCACCCGGGCCAGGTGCCCCGACACCCTGCAGGAGGAACCTTCAGCATGCAGAGAAACACAGGCCTGCCCAAGGTTGCACAGCATCAATGACAGGCCTCCTGCCTGCCAGTCCTGGGCCATTTCTTCTACTCAGTGGATGGGGAGCTGCACCAGGGGACCACACAGGATGCACAGCAAGCTGAGGCTCCTCCCTACAAATGACCAGACAACCTGTTCCCCAGGAGAGGACACAGTGAAGTCAGGCCTGGCCCTGTGAGGTCTGGGGCAGCAAGGCTGGCTGTGGTGCTGCTGGTCAGTAGCTGGGTCCAACAGTTTGAGGAGGAGCTCCATTCCTGAAGCTTTCCTAAGCCTTCTCTACACCAGGTCCCTCCTGGGCTCACCAGGAAGATATAAGCTGGGCCAGCTCGGCGTGTGGGGAGCTCACCTCAAGAGGAGAGATGCCAAGACAAACAGGCAATTACAGGGCAGGGCAAGAGGTGAGGGCTGCAGAATTCCCGTGTGCCACCACCAGCCCTAGGCTGAGCCCTGACCTAGCTGGAGGTGGGGCTCCGAGGCAGGGGGACGGTGCTCTGGGCTCAGAGAAGGGGGTTGTAGCCTGGAGGCTGGAGGTGACCAGCCCTACACCAAGAGAACAGCTCGGGGCCCCAAACCTCTCTGGGCCTGAGGCCCATGAGTGAAATGATGCCACATGTGGCTCTCTGAGGCCCTCCCAGCTCAGACGTCCCACAAACACCCAGGCACAGCAGTGGCCTGTGCTGAGCCCCCGAGGCCTCGATGCATGCATCTGCCCCTACCCTCACAGGACCACCAGGGGCCAGGCCCCACAGATGCCCACCCTGGTCACCCTTGTTCAGAAGACATGCAAACAGACCGCCTACCACAGGCCCAGCCTCGGCTGAGGGCACAGCTCCCTCTAACGGCTGAAGGACGCCTCAGAGGACGAGGGAACACTCCCTCTGCTGCTTGTGTCCTGTTGCACAGGAACACCCCTATGCTCTGTAAAAATCAATTATAATGCTGGTAATCGCAGCCCCCATTTGCTAAACACCATGCGGCACAAAGCACTTTCAATACGATAGCTTGTTTCACCCTCACAGCTTCCCAAAAGACAGCTACACTGATTATCCTGATTTTGCAGATGTGTTACCTGAAGCCAGTTACAAAGCTACCAAATGGAGAAGCTGGGGCTCAAACCCAAGCCTGGGAGACTCAGATGCCCTGTGCTCTTCAGCCCCCTGCCAGCCCCTTCTTAGGGAGAGCAGGAAGGGCAGAGATGGTGATGGAGTTTGGATGTGTTGTCCCCTTCAAAACTCATGTGGAAATTTGATATCCAGTGTGGCAGTGTTGAAAACTGATTGAGTCATGGGGGTGGATCCCTCATGAATGGATTAATGCTCTCCCTGGGGGAGGAGGGATTAATGAGTGAGTTCGCACTCTATTAGTTCCCGCTAGAGCTGGTTGTTTACAGGACCCTGGCACCTCCTCTCTCTCTCTCTTGCTTCCTCTTGCCATGTGATTTGCTTGTACCTGCCAGCTGCCTGCTGCTTTCTGCAATGAATAGAAGTAGCTTGAGGCCCGTGCCAGATGCAGCTGTTCTAGAATTGTAAGCCAAATAAACCTCTGTTCTTCATAAATTACCCAGTCTCAGGTAATTCTGTTATAGCAACACAAAACGGACTAATACAGATGGCAAAGGGCAACGGCTCATGTTTGCCAGGAGGGGTGCCCCTTGTCTCCATTGCAATCTCTGCCATAATTCAGAGAGCCAGGCTCTAGCCTTCACTCCAACCTCCACACCCCCCTCCTGCCTACCCACAAGGGGAGCTCTGAGCATTGGATTTAAAGGCCACACTGCCAAGTGCTGCCGGAGGACAACGAATTGGCAGGACCAGAGCCCATTCTTTCCAACAAACTCTTTGGCCCTGGTCCAGAACACCAGCAGCTTGGAACCAGGGATCACAAAGCTGGGCATCGTCTGGACCACCTCTGCAAAACAACTGGGAAAAGTGAGGCCCAGAGAAGGACAGCAACGGGCCCAAGTTCACACAGCAGTTTACTGGCAGGGGTCTCCTGAGCCCCCTTAGTGAACATGATGCAGGCAGCTTCCACATTTCATAGGTGTGTATTCTGCTAAGTGGCTCCAGGGACACTATGGGCCCCCAACAGTGGGGAGGGGGCACATCAGAGTAGCCTTGGGAGCTACACAGATTCCCAGCACCTGCTCCAGGGGATCCGCAGCTGGCAGGTGAGGGGAGGCAATTCTGACGTTGGGCCAGTACCAGGGGCCCTGGTGTTGCCTCCACTCATCCCTGACAAAGGTTTTCGAAAGTCTCATCTGCCATGTTCAGGCTACACCTGTCTGGCAGTGAGGGCTGCAGGCTGCATTAACATTCCCCAGCATCCCACCCACCCACCCCACCCCTGGCCTCACCTTTTGCCACAGCGACTCACGGGAGGCGAGTGACGAGCAGGCTGCCACAAACCAGCAGTTGCCCACCTGGCCCTGGTGAAGGTCATGGGAGCTGATGCCATCCACAAAGAGGCGGGGGTCCTCGCAGATGTCCTACAGAGATGGTGAGGGGAGAACATGAGGAGCCGAGGCGCACAGGATGCCCACCCACGGCAGAAAGGAGACCTCACTGTCAGAGTGGAGACCCACCCACCTCCCCCCACAATCCAGCCTCCCCCAGCTCCCGCCTGGAATGCCCTGTCCCCTTCCCTAGCCGGAGACACTCTTCTGCCAAAGGTCTGACAGTGAGCGAACACTGTAAGGGATGTGAGGGCACTGGACCCTGGGCTGCCACCTTCCTCCTGGCCTCTGCTCCTCCCTGATCAACAAGAACTCAGTTCCCTTCACTCTCTCACAGCCCTGCAGTGCCCACCCCGGCCAGCCCTCCTGCAGTGGGGTGGGTGTGCAGGGATGAGAAAAGCACCAAAATCACACATGATGAGCACAGCGTGAGGGGATAGCGGGAAGCTGGCGGGCCAGGCCCTGTGTGGCTCTTCCTCGTGCTGTCTCATCTGACCCTCACATTGCCTGAGGAGTAGGAGTTGTTATCCCATTGTATGGATGAGGAATGGAAGTTCAGAGAGTGGCAGCGAATTCTCAAAGGCACTTAGCAAGCAAATGCCCGAGGCGTGCAGAAACTCCTTTTTGATTCTCCATGGAGACAGGCAGGCACACAGAGGGGCTGCTCCCTGGGACATGGCCAGGGAACCAGGTGGGGCGGCCACTGGGCAGGGATATGATTCATGCCCACCCCAGCAGCTCTTAGCCCAGCCCTTCCTATTTCTGGAGGCCCTCTGCTCTGCTGTGGAGAGGTAGCCAGCCTGGGTGGGCTCCAGCTGCCCTCTGGGATTTCCACCTCTTCGTGCTTTGGGAGCTTTCTCCCTAAAAGCCCCCCCACCCTGTGGCAGTGCTGTGGAGTGAGAAAAACATGTGCTTTGGCTTCAGACTGGTGACTGAATTCCAGCTGCTCATTCTGCAATCTGGTGAGCTCGGAGCCTCGGCTTTCTCATCCATAAGGCAGAAAGAATAATTTCGACTTTGTGAGGAATCAGTGTACGCAAAGTGCCAAGCCCAGGGCCTGACCCAAAGAGAATGAGAGTGTGTGAATTTGCAGGTGCCAGGAAGCTAAGCCCAGACCCACATGGGTGGCTGTAGCACCACGACATGCAACCTGGAGGGGTTCGCTCGCCCAGCCTCACCACAGCTGTACATCCCACCCCCAGGCCTGAGCCGAGGGGCTGGTTAGATCTTTGCAGGGCAGCAGAGAGTGTCTGGCACAGCCCAGGAAGCAGGGCTGAGCAGACACCCACAGAGCTCCCTGAGTGCCCTGTCTGTGCCTGATGTGGGCCCAACGGGCTGGGCTGGGGCAGGGCTGGGCATGAGGGTGTTCCCTTTCCCCTGCCCAGTCCATGTCTCTGCCTGGGGCATGCATGTGTCACCTGTGTCCAGGAGGTCCACCCCAGGCTCTCCTCCTCTCCCATCAGCACCTTCACGCCACAGAGCTGAGAGGGAGTAAATGCCCTCCAAGGGGGGGTACAACGGGGTGGGGAAGGCAGCCACTGAGACATGCCTTCCATGCACCAGGCATCCTTCTGGCACCACGATCAAATCTCTCCGTGGTGCTGAGAGGTGGGCAATATGCGCGTTTCACAGATGAGAGGCTGAATAGCACGCCTAGCCACACAGCGCGATGGCAACAGGCCTCCTCGCCTGCCTCCACCTCAGCAGGTGCTCCTGAGCTAGTTCAATCACAACAGAGACGCAGGTGGCCAGCAGAGGGCAGCAGAGCCAGGAAGCCGGAACTTGAATTCTTGCTCCCCATTTACTGGCTGTGCAACTTTGGGCCAGTGGCTCAACCTCTCTGTGCCTCCATTTCCTCACCTGTGCAAAGAAGACAGGTTGTTATCCTGCAGGGCTGTGTAAGAACTCCACAGATCATGGAGGCGGAGCACTCAGTGGGAGAAATGGGACAAAGAGCCCTCAGTTCTCACTAAGGTTTTAGGACTCCTGCTGCCCCCACTGCCAGGAAAACAAATGTTTTCATTTTCAAGGTCCAGAGAAAGGGCCATTAACTCTCCAGAGGACATGAGCAGCTTCTGAGACCTGACCCCTCCTTCCACTTGGGACTGCAGGGTGACCCAGGGCCAAGCTGCAGGGCAGCTTCCCCAGAGCACAGTCTTGGTAATATCTCTTTAGGTCACAGAAACTCAGTGCAGCCATCTGCTCTCATCCTGTCCCCAAGGCTACACTCTCAGGAAGCACAGGCAGGAAGAAGCGCCTGCCCTCCCTCGCTGCTGCCCTCCCTCGCTGCTGCCCTCCTTATCTTATCTCCCAGGCCTGGCACACACCCAGCCCAGCCTTCTGAGCCAGAGGGAGCTATGACTTAGCATCTGCCTCTCTGAGGCCTGGGAGGGCAGGCAGGATGGGGTGAGAGGAGGGCTTCAGTGTCTGGCCACATTGTGCTACGGCCTGCCACCTGGCATCACCAAGAACTGCAGCGGGAGATGACTCCGAGGTGCCTCTCCAGTCCAGATCCTCCTAACCAGGGCCCTGCAACAGAGACACAACACCTGCATTCCACAGAGGAAGCTGAGCCCAGGAAGGGGCAGTGATGGCCGTGGTCACAAGGCAACAACGTAGACCGATGGGACAGAACTCCGGTCTGCTGGGCTCCCAATCAGGGCTCTCTTCCCCACAAACAACACTGTCAGGGCAGACGTGTGGGGCAGATCCAACCATCCCAGCCTGGCCCTGACCCTCTGAATAGGGCTCCGGCCCCATACACTTCCCCAGCACTCGAAAGAGGGACCGAGAGAGGCTGAGCTCAGGAGTCTGGACTCCTGGGTTCTATTGCCGTGACTTGCAGGGACCTTGGGGGCAACTGGGCAGCCTGGGAGGGAGAAGACAAGAGGTGGCCCCTGGTGTATTCCCACTGCTGGGAGAGGCTCAGGTTCACCAGCTCTAACCGAAAGAAAGCACTTGAAGTTGGTGGCACCTAGGGTCTGCCCTGGAATCCAGAGGCTACCTTAAGATGCCTCTAAAGGAACACTCACAGAAAAACAGCTCACAATGACTGGGACCTGCTATGTGCTAGGGACTGTGCAAAACCAACCTGTGAGATAGGTACTGTTAGCAGCCCCTTTTTACAGATGAAGAAACCAACGCACAGAGAGGTTAAGTCACTTGTCCAGGGCCACACAGGAAGAGGTGAGCTGAGATTCAAACTCAGGAAGTCTGGCTCCAGAGCCTCCAGGTGTTTAGGTTTTACGGGTGACAAAGTCACCCTTCCTACAACTGTCCCCCTGCACCTGTCCTAAGCCCAGCTTAGGGGGTCTTGCTATAAAGCAATGAGACCAAGGGGTCAGGGAATACTCAGGCCCTCAACCCACCACCATGGGCCAGGCTTCTCAGGACCAGTGTTTGTCCTGCCACCTTTCTTTGGCCATTGGCTGGACATGGGCCACAGAGTGAGTCAGGGAAGGTACTTGCCCACAGGCAGGGCCCTTGAGAAGGAGGAGCCATAGCAGGTCAGACCCTGACCCTCTAAGAGAGCTCTTACAGCAGGAGCCCAGAGAGAAATCAGATGCTGCCTGAAGACAGTGGCTCTGGCAGAGCAGGCACGGAGAGGCATGGAGAGGGAGGCTCAGGGGGGGAATGGAGACTCCAAATGTCCCCTAAGGTGGGGTCCAGCCATACCCTCGAGACAGATGCTGCCTAGGAAATGGTCCTCCTCTGCGCACCTGGCCCCTATGCTCCGTTCCATCACTGTCCACGCCGGGTGTGCCTTTGGGGCTTCTGCACTAGCCTGTGTGCTCCAGGGCAGAGCTGACTCTGCCCACCTCCAGGATTAGCCGGGCTTGGCAGCTTCCCCTGGGGCTACAGATAGGATCCCTGGGAGGAAGGGAGGACAGTGTCTCACAGGACTGGACTGGGTGGGGGCCTGCTGTGACCCGTCCCTGAGGGCTGGGGCGTGACCACTCCTCTGGTCAACACGCCTCTAGGGCACGGCCTTTTGCACCTGTGGTCACCTCTCACCTCCTCGGCCCCTCCCAGCCTGTTAGACCAGCTCCACCAGATGCAGGTCACTGCCCATGTAACTCCCCTCCCTCTGTGGCACAACAGGAAATTCAGGTTTCCAGTCCCGGTGCGCAAACAGGAACACAGCAGGGCAGCGGGTACAGGACACACACCCATCCACTGCACCTGCACAGCCTCCTCCCCCCCCCTTGTCCATCCACCTGTATCCCAGTCACCTCCCTCCTAGAATCTAAGATCACAGAAGGAACCAACAGGCAACTGGGAAACTGAGGCCCAGGAGGGAAGAGGGACCTCTGCCTGGGACTGGAAAGAAGGGCAGCGTTCTCAGGAGGTAAAGCCTGTGGCCCGCCCCCTCTGCAACAGACTCGCTTCCCCCCACCCCTACCCCCTATCGCCTCCCATGGCAACCCCCACCCTTCAAGTCCACCTCCTCCAAGAAGCCTTCCCTGACCCCACTGAACTCTATCTCTGAATATATGCCTGGAAGAGGATCATTCCTGGGCAGGGCAGAGGCCCAGAAGGCTGGGTGTTGCCAGGCCTTGGTGCAAATTGGCTGTGTCGCAGCACAGAGGGGACTAATGTTCAACCACTGGATGAGCATGAGCCCCAGGGGATGGGGCTGGGACCGTCAGGCTGCCTTGATAGAATTCTGGGAGGTTCCAAAACCGACATCTGTTCGTAGGACCCCTACTTTTCCCTTCTGCGTTCTACCAAAGGACCTCTAGGCCTGGTATGGAGGAGGCAGGGTGCTGGATGGGGGGACACTACCCCAGAGGGATGGCAGGCCCTACTATGGCCCTGGGCCCAAGAGAGAAGGAAGGTGGCTCCTGTCCACACCCTTGGGATTCCCTGAACTCCCAGGCTTTGTTGACAGTCCCCATTCTCTTCTTATCTCCCTGGCCAGGCCCGTGGGAGAGGCCAGCAGGTGCCTACTGCACTGGAAAGAGCAAAAAACAGTGAGCCAGTGGTGGGGACTGAAGAAGACCAGGCCTGGTCCCAACTGCAGAGTAAATAAGAGATGGGATGTCCCAGGCAGGGCTGGTTCTGGGTCTCCAACAGAGGGCACACAAGGAGAAGGTGGGCAAGGGAGGGGAACTAAAGATTGTCACCTGCCTCCCACGTCTGACATCACAGATACCTCAAGTCACTTCAACCCCCAGAAACCATGATCAGCAAGAATTACTCTCCCCATGTACAGATGAGGAAATTGAGGCCACAGAGGGTGGGAGTGGCTTGTTCAAAGTCACACCTCCAGTTAGGTAGGGCCAAGGCTGGAGCCCACTCCACCTGGCTCAAAAACCAGCCTCCTCATTATATTTGGGAGGAAGGATGGCAGGGAGGCTGGCTGAGGAGATCCTCCAAGATCACAGAGGCCACAGTAACTGTGACCAACTTAAAGAGGAGCTGGAGTGAGGATGGGAATGAGGAAGGGCTTCCCTGCGCTGTAGAAAATGTTGGCTTTCTGCCCTATTTGTAAACATTCGGTCACAGGGCCGAGGAAGTGGAACACAGAAACACGTCTGTCTCAGGCCAAAGTTTCATCTCGCTGGCCAAGGGCCAAGCAGCTGGGAGTTAACGATCAGCCCCTAGGCTGGGCCCACCACACCCCTGAACCAAGATGAACTTGACACCCTGCTCACAACCTCCCATCCTCTCAATGGAGAGGGGAGCCCTCCTGTCACTCGGGCCTGCCCTCACCCACAGGCACTGCCTACACCCATGGTGATTTAAATCCACGCAGTGACAAGGACCATCACCACACCCTGGTCTACACAGTCTCACATCCCTACCCAACACGGTTCAGCCTGTGCTGGCCGTGAACTGCCTCTGACCGAGAACTGATCTCCCCTACTGCTGCACTGTGGGCTCCACCCAGCTGTCTCCCTCAGCACGCCATCTGTCACCCTCCTCCACATCCAAGACAGGGGCAGCTTGGCTCCTCCTCTTCAGCCAGTCTAGGAAGGGCAGAGCACTGGGCAGTGCCCAGCGAGGAAGGCAATGAAGGACTGGAGGCAGGGCAGGACCCCTGAACCTGCAAGGAAAGGGGCTCAGAGAGGGCAGGTGACTCCACCAGGTCACACAGCAGGGGAATGGTGAGCTAGCCAGCCTGGCATTCCGTCCTCTCTCTGCACCAAGCCCTGCCTGCCCCAACCAGGCCTCACCAGCCTCCTTCCTAACAGTCTGAGTGATGGCCAGAGGGCAGGAGAGGGTCAGGATGGGGGCAGCAGGGGGGAGGAATGAGAAGAGGGCAAAGAGCTCAAGTGTCCACCCTCCTCCCCCGACCCAAGGCCACACAAAGGCCCTTTGAGGCTGGCCTCCTTCCCCACCCTCTTGACAAAGAGAGAGGAAGGCGTGGGAGAGCGGAGGCCTGAGAGGCAGAAATCTTGTGGCCAGGCTAGGAGGCTCCTGGGAGATCTGGAGAACCAGTGTAGTGGTCAGAGATTCTATTGCAGCTCATGGGGCTGAGGTCAAAGTACCAGGACCTTTATCTAGTGTCAGGGAGGCAGAGCCAGGAGAGGCAGGACTCCTGGGTCCTAGACTGCCTCTGCCAGCGGCTTACTGGGTGACCTGAGGCATGTGCCTTCCCCACTTGCCTGTTTCTCTACATCTCAAGAATCCCAGTCCAAGAAAATACACAGGATTTTTCAGTTGGAAGGGACTTGAGATCATAGCCTAGGAGAGGAACTAGAAAATGAAATTTCATTATCCCCAGAAGTCCAGGGAGCCAGAAGGAATTTTGTAAAATGCAAATCTGACCCTGTCACATGCTGCTGAAAACCTTGCCTTCGATGGCTCCCACTGCCCTCGGAGCAAGGGCTGAGCACCCTGGCCTGGCACGTCAGCCTCGGCCCAGACCTGCCGGCCCCAGGACACGCTGGGCCTCCTCTCCAGCCTCACTCTGTACCACGTGCCACATGCTCCAGCTGCACTGCCATTTCCTAGATGAGCTTGAGGGTTTCAAGTGGGAACGTCTTTCTTCACTCTGTGCCTCCTCCTGCACAGCCCTTCTTGCAAAAGCCTCCTCACCCTTCAGCTCTGAGACGCCTTCTTCGATTATTGGATGGTGGGAGTCCCAGCCTCCTCCAGGCCCTGAGCGTCAGCACGGGCTCCCACACTAATGTCCCATCAGCACAGCCGTGGAGACTGGAGATGGGCCCAGGGCGATGGCCTCCAGCATCCTGGCCCTCCCCCAGGCCCCCAGGGACACCCACTCTACAGGACCCACAGACACAAGCAGCAGACCCCCTCCCCAGCCCACCCTTACACCCAGCAATCAAAGTTGAAGAGGGTGAAATCACAGCAGGAGGCCAAACACTTCTGTGTGACACAATCTAGCCTCAGGGCCCAAGGCCAGGGCAGGGGAGCGGCTCACTTGATGCCACACAATTCATCATTAGCGACACTCACGGTAATGGCTCCCTAAGTTGGGCGACAGGCTCTGTGCCAGCCCTCTTCATGCATTTCCTCTTTTAATCCTCACAACAACCCTGTGAGGTAGGAACTATTATTTTTTACTACTATTATTACTGATTAATCATCATAAACACTTTTCATTTATGCAGCAAATGGCTATTTGAAAATCATTACGATAATAATCAGGAAAGTAAATTCCTTATGCTTGAATGTCACTCTCCATTTTACTGAAAAACGGTCACATCCACATTACTTCATTTTTATCCCCAAAATGACCCTGGGAGGGAGGTGGCAGGGCAGAGGTTACTGCCCCGTTTTCCCTGTGAGGAAGCTGAGGCCCAAGAGGGAGCGAGGGCTCCCCGTGCAGGTCACGTCCCACCGCAAGGGCGCCCGGCATCGGCCCCTCCACTGTCTCGGCAGCCGGGGGCCCTGGGATGACTCCTCCCGGCCACCCAACATCCCTGAACACCATGACAGGCCTGCGCCTGCTTGACCCAGCTCCAGCAGGACAGACACTGACCTTGGGCCGCTTCCACCTGACGGCGGGCCCTGGGGTGCCCTTATAGTAGAGCGAGTCGTCGGTGGCGGGGAAGTGCGGGTCCTCGAAGAGCACCTTCTTGCGCAGACAGGCCCGCTTCAGGGCCGAGTAGTTCTGGTCGTCATACGGCTTCACGCACGAGAACATGGTGGTCGCGGGCCCAGCGAGGGGAGGCGGAAACACCTGGGGGACAGGAAGGCAAGACCATCACTCACTGAAAACCTGGAGTCCTGCTGGGCACCGTTCTCCTGGGCTCCCCTTCCAGCAGCCCTGTGACGTGCACATCATCATCCCCATCAGACAGGCAAGGAGAGGAGGCTCAGAGAGGGGCACCGGCCTCCCAAGGTCACACAGCGGGTATGCGGGGAGCCAAGATAGGATCCAAATGGCCTGACTCCACAGCCTGGATTCTCTCGTCTCGGATGCTTAGAGGTGATCCCAGCCCAGCAGGCCAACAGCACCAGAGCTGGCCCGGCCGCATCCGCCTCCCGCTCCCTTCCTTTGGTTAACCAGCCTGCCCTAGACTTCCCTGGACTGAATCAGACCAGTAGACAACCCAGCCCCTCTCTGGCTGGTGTCACACCCACAGGAAAGTGGCAGCATACGTCTCCAGGTCTCTCCTCTGGACCCTCACCTCCAGCCGAGGGTGGTGCATTTCTGCCTAGTGTAGGAAAACCTTGTCCCAGGTGCCCCTCAGCCATCCTCCACAGCCATCCTGTCTGTCTCTTCTCCCTCCAGCACTCTGTCTTCCTCACCACACCTCTGGAATAAATGTCTCCAATTCTGTAGAAAGCAGGCTCATGGCTCCTTAATTCTCCCTTCATTCCCTGGGGCCCAGGTGGGCCTGGCCCAGCACCCTGAACCTTACTTAAACCAATGTGCTGATCAAGTGCAAGGGACGCAGACTAGACTGACATGGTCAGGGAAGACCTCCGGGAGGGGAGGGGAGGGGTGGGGGAGCAGCCAGCAGGGCCTGTCACTTTGGTCACTGACAGGTGCTCAGACAGAAAAGCACCCGAATGACCACCCATCTATGCCAGCCCTCCTTCAGACTGCATCAGGCCGCAGAGGAGCTCCACCCCCCCTGCATCTATTCCTCCTGGGGCTTGCCCGAGGCAACACTGCAACTCCACTCTACAGGCCACAATTCCTCAGCCCAGCCCTGAGGAAAACTGAGGCAAAGTAGGCTGGTTTCTGGAGTGAAGTTTGAGACCAAGATTGATGTGGGTGCCAATCCCAGCTGCACCACTCACCTGATGGATGAACTTGAACAAATCGTTTGACCTCTCTGAGCCCCATTTTCCCATCTCTACAATGAGAACCAAGCTGCTTCAATAACTACAAGATGCCATTGTCATCTACCAAAGGCTGAGGAAACTGCCAAGCTGGCCAGACGGGAAGAACGACAGAGAAGCGGCCAAACCACCTCTCATTCCCAAGAGAGACTCCATTTCTCTACAATGTGCAAACCACTTGGCTACAGGTTAGTGCCTATTATTTGCAAACAGTGCTGGGCAGGCACATTGTTTCCATTTTTCACAAAAGAGAACTTAGACTCAGTGAGGTGAGGTGACTTGCCCAGGTTCCCATGGCGGAGTCTGTACTCAAACCCAGATCCTCCAACTCTGGTGCCTCCACCTTGCCCCATGGCTCTGCCACTCAGAAGGATGGCTGAGCACCGGCCTGTGCAGGGCTCTCCCCACACACACCCTGGCTGAGCTGGGCCTCACGGGAAGGAAAAGATGAGGGTATTCTATAGGGAAGGGAGGAACCGGAAGGGAAGGAGGTGAGAATGGGAGGTGAGTGTGGACATGGACGGACAGCAGAGAGGGCAGGAAGGGCCCATCATCCTCCCCGGCCGAGGGGGCTGAGAGCTGGTTTGTCCCCTGCTCTGCACCCACAGCCACTTTGTCTTCTGCCCCCACATCCATACTGGACTCACTCTCTCGCTGCTGTGTGAGCTCAGGCCAACCACTTAACCTCTCTGGCTGCCCTTCTGCCCAGGGAGGCCAATAGCTCTGCCCTCTTCCACCCACCCTCCCAGCCTTGGAGGCCTGAGAGAAGGGAGAGCCTGGGGAGCCAGTTCCTGGGCTTCTGGCACACAGTCACCAAGGAGAGTCATTAGCACTGTGGGTTTCCAGCAGGGTCAGCTCAGGAAGCAATTTAAGCTGCAAGAATTAGATCAGAGAAGCTGAAAGCAGGTGCCCAGAAATCAGCTCTTGCAATTCCAGTGTTTCAGAGCCCAGAGGGCCCAGAGTGCAGGAGTGAGCTGGGGAGGTCACACAGCCAACCTGGAGGAGAATGAAGATCTGGCTTCTCTCCAGGACACACAGGGGCCAACACTGCTGGGAGGGTCTGTTCCCAGGGAGAAAGCAGGGAGGTGGGGACTGAGCGAGGAAAGCTCTGCTAGGCCAGGCCCAGGAGAGCAGGCACCAGGCCTGGCCGACAGAGGGTCTAGCGTGGTTCAGCCATCTCTCCAGCCTCCCGCCGCCTGCAGCCAGGCTGACCCTGGCCTCCTTCTGCGAGGCAATTCTGGCCCCTGGGTTTTGTGCAGACTGCCCTCCTGCACAACTCCCTCTGCCTCAAGGTCACCTCCCACTGCCTCCACTGGCCAACACCCCCACAGGGTCAGAGACAACAGCCTCTTGCTGAGCTCCGCGCTCTCCCAGAAGCTCCAGGCATAGTCACTGAAGACCACAGATAAATCAGGAGGCAGGACAGCCGGCTTCCAAGGCCCAGCCTCTTCCTTCCAGGCTTGAGCTTCAGGCCATTGCACTCTGGTCTTCGCAGTGTTTTCACACTGTGTTTGGGCCAGGCACAAACCCTACGATGTGTTCAGGACAGCCTGAGCTTCCCAGATGCCCTGTCAGCCTGCCCTCTTCCCTTTTCCTGCCAATCTTGCCACAGCCATCCCGCCTGGGCCAGTTCAGTGCTTCGAGCACTGTGCAGTTCCCCTAATGCTGTGTTCTCTGGGCCTTTGCACACACTGTTCCTCCACAGTACCCCCTCTGCCTCTGCCGTCCTGGAACCCCTGGGACAGCGCCATTACACCGCACCCCACCTGCACACAACTTGTCCACTTCCCCAGCCCACCCTTCGCCCCTCCAGGACAGGGCCCGTGTCCAGCTCCCCTCTGTATCCCCAGGGTCCAGGGTGGCAGGGGATTCAGTAACTGTGTTGGATGAACCTACAAAGGTGAGTGCAGGAGGAATTCTTTCACGGGTGGTTAAAACAGCTCAAAGAGTGGCAGGGACTCCCAAGGACATTGAGCTTGCCATGTCACAGCCACCAGCACTCAGTCTGCTGAAGCCTGGGCCCTCCCCTTCCCTCTAAACCAGCCCTGCTCTCCATTCTTCCTCTTCCTGATGGCTGGGTGCCAGCCAGTGCCCACACCCCACTGTCCAGGCTGAGGGGTGGCTGTGGCCCTGGCACTCTCTGCCGTGGCCCAGTCCTTCTGCCTTCTGAGAAATGCCTTGTTAGGCAACTTCATCACTGTGCCAACAGCATGGAGTACACTTGCAGAAACTTGGATGTCATAGCCTATGACACGCCTAAGGCTACATGGCTACATGGCATAGCCTATGGCTCCCAGGCTGCAAACCTGTACAGCATGTTTCTGTACTGAATACTGCAAGCAATTGTAACACAATGGCAAGTATTTGTGTATCTAAACATATAAAAGGTACAGTAAAAATATGGTATTATAATTTTATGGGATAACCATCGTTCGAATATATGCAGTCCTTTGCTCCATGAAACGTTACGTGGCGCATGAGTGTACTTTAATGCCCTGTACCCCTGAGGACTGTCAATACCAGACAATGAATATCTGGGGTTTACTGACATGTTTCTGCGCCCCTGACAAATCAGGGTTCCTGTCCCCATGAAACTTCACGGTCTAGTGTGACCAACAGACACAGGCAGAATGGAAAATGTGTTATTTCAGAGGTTCCAGCGAGAATGCAGAGAAGCCTTCCCAAAGGCCTGGCCACAGAAGCAGATTATTCTTTAGGAGAGAAAAGCCATTCTAGGCAAAGGGAACAGTTCAAGCAAAGGCTCAGAGGCATGAAAATGCATGGCGATTCAGACCTGGCCTGGCACAGGGAGGACCCCGTGGATGACAGTGGAGGTGCTGAGCTGGGTCAGAATCGGGGGGCTGGGAGTGCTTGCCACAGAGCTTGGAGACGAGTCAGTCAGACCTGAGTTTGAGTGCCAGCCACACCACTTAGCGGCTGTGTGTCCTTGGGCAAGTCGGGAGCCCCTCTGAGCTGTTGTCAATCAGAAAGCCCCCCAGGCCCTACTTGGTTCCCGCCTCTAAGGTGGCAGAGGACAGAAAGTGGCATCTGCTCCTGGGCCTGCCCTACAGAAGCTCACTTTGGAAAAGGTGTGAACTCTCCTTCCAGAAGATAGTGGCCTAGTCTGCTGTTCCATGGACCTGCTGGAGGTGGAGACAGCCTAGCTGTGCATGGGGTGGAATAAAGGCTTGTATTCTGGCAGGCCATGCTGCACCAGGTGCAGGAGGAAAAGGGCTGAGCCCAGGGAGCCTTCCCTGGACATCATAGCCACCAAAGCCATCGCTTAGAGGGAACACCAAGGACCTTGTCCAAAGCCCACAGATCCCAAGCCTTCCAGACCCCATATCTCACCAAGGCTTCCCAAAGCAAGTCCTGGGTTAATATTGTGATAATTTTAGGGGGCACCCTGAGACAGCCATAAAGAAGTCATCGGGAATATTACCTCCTTCCCAATTCTCTCTTGAGGAGAGCTCAGTTTGGCCCAGCATGTCTTTAACCCCTTACAGCCTGTGCCCAACTCACAGTTAACAAAGGAGAAGCAGACCTCAGGCCGAGAGCCTTCCACGAGCAACAGCATCCGGCTGGAATGGGACAATTTTTTTTTAACTTTCTTAAGATTCTTCAAGTTATCTTGTATTTATGGACATTAATGCTGATTTTTCATTTACAGTAGACATACAGTTTCCTTTAAGAAATACTAGGAGAGGGACTGGCTGGTTGCTCGGTCGGTTAGAGTGCAGGGTTGGTGACAGCAAGGTCAAGGGCTTGGATCCCTGCACCAGCCAAGCACTAAAAAAAAAAAAGAAGAAAGAAAAAGAAAGGGGAAAAGAAAATGGACTTAAGGAAAAATGTTAAGTTACCAGTGGTGCAGGTGGGACCCTAGCA